CTTGGCTTAGTACAACCTCTGTCTCCCTGGTTCAGGCAGTTCTCCTGCGTCAGCCTCCTGAATACCTGGGATTACCAGGCACATGCCACAATGCCCAGCTGTTTTTGGTATTTTTAATAGAGACAGGGTTTCACCACATTGGTCAGGCTGGTCTTGAACTCCTGACCTCAGGTGATCCACCCGCCTTGGCCTCCCAAAGTGTTGGGGTGACAGGCGTGAGCCCCCGCGCCCGGCTTCCTCACCAATCTTGGTTCTTTTTATTTCATGTCCTTGCACTCACTGACTGCATCCTGCAGCTCTCCGTGGTCTGTTTTAGGTGAGAGTACACATTGTTGTGTGCGTGGTGGCTTCGAGCGTGCATCCAGCCTTTCACCGTTGAGGGCAGTGCTGAGTATGGTTTTCCCTCGATGCTCTTTGTCAGGCTGAGACGTTCCCTTCTGTTCTGAGCTCGTTGGGTATTTTTCATTATGAACGGGTGTTGTATTCTGTTGAACTGGACGTGTTGAGATGATCCTATGTTTTGGTTTTTTTATTTTGTTGATGTGGTGTATTATAGTAACTGAGTTTTGGTGTTGAATCAGCCTTGCATCCCTGCGGTAAATCTTACTTGTTCATGGCTTATGATCGTCTTTATATGTTGCTGGATTCTGTTAGCCAGTATTTTGTTGAGGGTCTTTGTGTTTATGTACACGAGCGATGTTGTGGGTTCCTGTGGGTGTTCACACAACACTTTGGGAGGCCGAGGCGGGCGGATCACTTGAGGTCAACAGTTCGAGACCAGCCTGGGACAACTTGGTAAAACCCCGTCTCTACTGAAAATACAGAAGTTACCCAGGCGTGGTGCTGCGCACCTGTAGTCCTAGCTACTTGGGAGGCTGAGGCAGGGGAATCACTTGAACCTGGGAGGCAGACGTTGCAGTGAGCCGAGATTGTGCCACTGCACTCCGGCCTGCGTGACAGAGCAAGGCTGTGTCTCAAAAAGAGAGAGAGAGAGATTGAACATGGTAATAATGATAATGGTTTTGTCGGCCTTTTTATTTTAAAAATTGAGGTAATTTATAAAACATAAAATACACCTGCTTTAAAGTTTATAATTCATTGATTTTTCGTGTATCCACGGTCACGCAGCTTTTGACTCTAATCTAAAACATCTGTCATCCCCATTAGCAGTCACTCTCCCACCATCCCTTTCCCTGGCTCCTGGACCCCACGAGCCCCTTTCTGTCTGTGGATTGGTCTGTTCTGGACGTTCTGTATCGGTGGACCCTCCGCCGTGGCCGTTGGCGTCTGGCTTCCCCCCTAGCGCATGCTGTTCCTGAGCTTCGTCCGGTTGCAGCATGGGTCAGGACAGAGGCCTGTTTGTGGGCAGTTTTCAGTGTCACACAATGCATGTCCTGCCTGGGGCGAGACAGCCTTTACCCTGCAAGCCATCCTGGGTGGGAGGCGGCACCAGTGGCGGCCCCACGTGTGTGCTGCGCCCAGTGCCTCCAGCCCTCGGAGGCGGAGACAAAGCCCCTTCCATGCTCACCAAACGGGCTCTGACCAGTGCTTGCTCTTGGCTGCCACCCTGTGATGTCCAGCAGCAGGACTTGGACTGGCCGAGCTAACCCTGCTTCTCTTCCTCCGCAGGCCTCCTCGCTGGGGAGGCAGAGCCCTCGCGTGGTCTCCTGCCTTGCACACAGCCTGTGCCCCGGGGAGCCTGGCTTGCAGACAACAGCAGGTACCTTCCTCCCTCCTCCCCGCACCCAGGTCTGCCAAGGCCTTTGTGGCTGTGAGAGACAGAATGCCCGCCGGGCTTGGCAGAGCCGTGACCAGCACACTGGTTTCCAGACTCCAGGGTGTTCCAGCTCCCACCCGCCCAGATGGAGCTGTGGGGAGCATGGTCAGGACTCCGTCTTCCTGCTCTCTAGCAGAGGCAGGGAGCCCAAGCCACCCAAGACCGTCCTCAGAGCCCGGACCCCCAGCAGAGGACCCGGCACAGGCCTGCACCAAGCTGAGGGCCACCTCATCCTGCTGGGGTGCTGGGACGGGGGGGCTTGCTGAGGGATGCGGACTGGAGAAAGTGGAGCAGGGGAGACAGGCAGACCCTGGTTCCCTGCACCTCCCTGCGCCGATGCTGCTTGCCCGAGGGGCATCGAGGTCCCAGGCCGCCTGCTGGCCACCTGTGCTGGGCCCACAGGGCGGAGTGTGGGTGGGCAAGTGTCTCGGTGACTGCTCCTTCTTCCCCTTGCTGCGCTCCCATGGGCCAGGTGTAGGGTTGCATGTCTTCCCGGCGTAAAACTCGTCCACACCCCAGTCTCCAAAGAAGGCATTGCCGTCCCTGTTTTCCCTGCGTGGCTCCTCCAGGGATGCCGTGGTCACCGAGGGTCCAGGCGCACCCAGGCAGCTCCAGGTCATTCCCTCACTCTAGCGAGGCACCAGCCACCAGGGGTCTTCCATGTCCCGCAGCTGCCTGGTCTGTGCGTGGTGCGCCCCTGTGTGTCCAGCCACGCACGCTCTGTGGCTGCCCTCCTAGAAGCTTCCTGACCTGGATCCCCGGCCCTCAGGCCCCCAGCCTTGGGCTGTACTGCTCCCTGTCTGGACCCCCGGCCCTAGGACCCACAGCCTTGGGCTGTACTGCTCCCTGTCTGGACCCCCGGCCCTCGGGCCCCCAGCCTTGGGCTGTACTGCTCCCTGTCTGGACCCCCGGCCCTAGGGCCCCCAGCCTTGGGCTGTACTGCTCCCTGTCTGGACCCCCGGCTCTCGGGCACCCAGCCTTGGGCTGTACTGCTCCCTGTCTGGATTGGTTGAACCCTGGCTATTTCCTTTTGTTTGTTTTAAAGTCTAGTTGAAGACTAAACGTGGAGAGAAATGGTGACACACCCCAGTTATTTTGGGGAAACCCTGGGTCTGATGACAGCCGCCGTCTGTTGGGCCATGTGTGTCGCATGACGGCTTCCTGTGGCCCTGCAGGCGGAGCGTGAGGGACTGGCGTTGTCCAGGTCCCACCGGCCCTGCCCCTGCGTGGTCCTTGGTGCTGTGCTGACCCACGCAGGTGAGGGTTTGGCATCACCCGTTTTGGGAGCCGTGGAGCCCGGCGTGCACCCAGCTCCGATGAGTCCTGCTGCCCCCCCCACCCTAACGAGATGGGTGTCTGGCTCCTTCTAGTCTGCGCTCTCCAAATCCTCACAGACTTCCCTGTTGAGGAAGACAAGCTGTCCCTCAGAAAGACACCCCCTCCCTTAAAAAAAACCCTTGGAATTAGTGTGTGCAGCTCACCAGCTGTTGTGGGGTGTCCCGGTGGGGACCCACGTGGGAGGCTGGCCCTTCGGTGCAGAGGGCCTCACCCCTAGGGCTTCCCCTGCCCCAGGCACCCCCAGTCTCTGCAGGGTGGTTGGGACAGGCGGGCAAGCCACTCACCTGCGCTGCCGTCTTCTCCCCAGCGGTGTCCATGGGCTCTGGAGACCATCAGTTCAACCTCGCGGAGATCCTGTCACAGAACTACAGTGTCGAGGGGCAGTGCCAGGAGCCTTCGAGGTGCTCAGACAAGCCCAAGGAGGAGCTGGAGAAGGACTTCATCTCCCAGGTACTCGGCCGAGGTGACCCCGCCCCCGTGTTGGGTGGAGCCCTCTGGGGTCAGCCTCACGGTTTCTGTGCAGTTGGATTCATGTTGGCAAGTGCTAAATTGTACATCTTTCTGCAAAGTGCCAGGCACCATCCTAGGAGCTGAATTCAGTGGTGACCGGGTCTAACATGGGGCTCTCTGGGCAGCACGGTGCCGGGCATTAAGCCGGCTGCTCTCAAACCCTCCGGTCTCAGAACCTAATTTGTACTCTTAAAAAAATTATTGAGCGTTCCTAGGCAGTGTAGATTTGAGAAAAAAAATTATTGAGAGTTTTGGCCAGGTGCGGTGGCTCACATCTGTAATCCCAGCACTTTGGGAGGCTGAGGCGGGCAGATCACCTGAGGTCAGGAGTTCGAGACCAGCCTGGCCAACATGGTAAAACCCCACTGCTACTAAAAATGCAAAAATTAGCTGGGTGTGTGGCACACGCCTGTAGTCCCAGCTGTTCAGGGGGCTGAGGCAGGAGAATCGCTTGAACCTGGGACGCGGAGGTTACAGTGAACTGAGATGGCGCCATTGCACTCCAGACTGGGTTGACAGAGTGAGACCCTCTCTCAAAAAAAAAAATTATTGAGAGTTTTAAGGAGCTTTGTTAATGTGTTTTATCTACTAATTAAGGTTGAAATTGACATGTAGGAATACTTATTTGCTAACTCATTTTAAAATGACACAAATAGACTGGGTGTGGTGGCTCATGCCCGTAATCCCAGCACTTTGGGAGGCCAAGGCGGGAGAGTCACGAGGTCAGGAGTTCAAGACCAGCGTGACCAACGTGGCGAAACCCCGTCTCTACTAAAAATGCAAAAAAAAAATTCACGAGGCATGGTGATGCACGCCTGTAATCCCAGCTCCTTGGGAGGCCGAGGCAGGAGAATTGTTTGAACCTGGGAGGCGGAGGTTGCAGTGAGCCGAGATTGCGTCATTGCGCTCCAGCCTGGGTAACAGAGCGAGACTCCATCTCAGAAAATAAAAATGAAATAGCTTGAACAAGTCAGTTACGTGTTAATATAAATATTTTTTCGGAAATGGAAGAAAACCTCTGTGTTCCAAAAGAAAAAACTATTAGAAGAATGAATTTTTAGTTTTCCGAATCTCTTTGAATGTAGAGGCATATATGAAAGTCCAGCTTCTGTCTTTTTTTTTTTTTTTTTTTTTTTTAGACAGAGTCTTGCTCTGTCGCCCAGACTGGCGTGCACTGGTGTCATGTCGGCTCACTGCACCCTCCACTTCCTGGATTCAAGCGGTTCTCCTGCCTCAGCCTCCTAAGTAGCTGGGGTTACAAGTGCACACCACCACACCCGGCCAATTTTTTTTTTGTGTATTTTTAGTAGAGACAGGGTTTCACCATGTTGGCCAGGATGGTCTCGATCTCCTGACCTCATGATCCACCCGCCTCAGCCTCCCAAAGTGCTGGGATTACAGTGGTGAGCCACTGTGCCTGGCCTAATCCTTTGATTTTATTTTTTTTGTAGAGGTCTTGCTATTTTGCTAGGTCTGGCCTCAAACTCTTGACCTCAAGCAATTTTTCCGCCTGGGCCTCCCAAAGTGACTCAGGTACGTTCTTTCTTTCATTTTTTTTTTTTTTTTTTTAAAATGGAGTTTCGCTCTTGTTACCCAGGCTGGAGTGCAATGGCGCGATCTCGGCTCGCCTCCTGGGTTCAGGCAATTCTCCTGCCTCAGCCTCCTGAGTAGCTGGGATTACAGGCATGTGCCACCATGCCCAGCTAATGTTTTGTATTTTTAGTAGAGATGGGGTTTCACCATGTTGACCAGGATGGTCTCGATCTCTTGACCTCGTGATCCACCTGCCTCGGTCTCCCAAAGTGCTGGGATCACGGGCGTGAGCCACTGCGCCCGGCCCCTTCTTTCTTTTTTTTGAGGCGAAGTTTCGCTCTTGTTGTCCAGGCTGGAGTGCAATGGCGCAGTCTCAGCTCACCACAACCTCCGCCTCCCGGGTTCAGGTGATTCTACTGCCTCAGCCTCCCGAGTAGTTGGGACTACGGGCGCGTGCCACCACGCCCAGCTAATTTTTTGTATTTTTAGTAGAGATGGAGTTTCACCATGTTGGCCAGGCTGGTCTTAAACTCCTGACCTCAAAGCGATCCTCCCACCTCGGCCTCCTATGCTTGGATTACAGGGTGAGCCACGCCCGGCCCACTTCTGTCTTTTAAGGGAGATGTTATTCTGTTGTGATAAGGTTTGATGGTTGAAGTACAAAGACAGCCTCATACAGATCTGTTGTTGGAAAAGGAAGGCGTATTTAACAGTTTTTCAGATAATGGTGGGTGTTTGATGCCACAGCAAAACTCAGCAAGTGGTAGTTTTGTGGAGTGGAGTCTGAGATCGTTACCAGTGAACCTCCTAGTTGCAGAGGCAGAGAGGTCCGTGAACGGGTCCCGCAGAATGGCTTCCGGTGCTGGCTCTCTTCCTGGCTGCCGTGTCCTCACGTGGTGGACAGAGAAGCCGAGGGAGCCCTCTGGTGTTTTTCATAAAAGGTCACTAATCCTGCTCGATCAGGGCCCCACCCTCATGGCCTCACTGGGCCTTAGCCACTTCCGTAAACGCCTCGTCTCCAGATACAGTCGCGTTGGGGTTAGGGTTGACTGTAGCAGTTAATGTCACCGCCGGCCTCATCACAAGCTTTGTAAATGTTGGAAATTTGGCAAGTGCATGTTGTCAAACCCAAGTTTGCCAAAGTCTTGAGTTCTGCGGTTGCAGCAGTTAGGTCAGCTGTTGCCTCTGAAGTAGCAGCCCTCCTTGCCTGCCTGCGAGGCTCCTGTCTGAGCGGCTGTCGTCGGCCAGCGCTCTTGAGGTGAAAGGACGGAAGGGCCCCCTCGCCTCACCACCCATTCCACGCGTGCTTCCCTGAGGGAGCCGCCTCGGGAAGGGCCCCCGCGCCTCACCACCCATTCCACGCGTGCTTCCCTGAGGGAGCCGCCTCGGGAAGGGCCCCTGCGCCTCACCACCCATTCCACGCGTGCTTCCCTGAGGGAGCTGCCTCGGGAAGGGCCCCCTCGCCTCACCACCCATTCCACGCGTGCTTCCCTGAGGGAGCCGCCTTGGGAAGGGCCCCCGTGCCTCACCACCCATTCCACGCGTGCTTCTTTGAAGGAGCCCCTCACCCTGCTAGGCAGCAGCCGCTCTGCTTCCCATGCCCTCACACAGAACATGGAGGCGTCTGCTCAGGATGCGACTTCACAGAATGTGCCCACCGCCTTCTGAAGTGAAGCTGGGGAGTTTGCTTTTGGTCTGTGAGGGATGGGCAGTGGTGCCCTGGCTGCAGCTTCCATGGGCGCCGGGCTGTTGCCGGCTGCCACTGCGGCACCATCAGTGCGAGTGTCAGTGAGGCCCAGCACAGAAACCACGGCTTTGTGCTCTTCAGACGGGGCTTCACCTGGGGCACCCAGGGGTCTTGGGACCACCGTGTCAGCCCTCCCACCTGCATGCCCCGGCGGTCACGGGCATACAGAATGTGTTCTGTCCGTCGGGTCCTGTGAGAACTAAAGGGGGACTTGGCATGGACGTTCCACCTGGGGAAGGGCTGGGAATGGGCTGGGAGATTCTTTGTGGACTTGAAGCCCCAGGAGGAGTCTGGGCAGGAGCTGGGGTGGAGGGGAGGCCAGTGCTGACATCCTGAGAGAATGAGACGAGGGTTCAGGAAGGTGGACGCTGGGAGTGACCCCGGGTCCGGGTGGAGTCTGAGCAGGCAGCTGTAACCTCAGGGTGTAGAGGCTTACATGAGGGGGGCGTGGGGATTTGAACACAGCGCTGGGGAGGGTGACGTCTCTTCCTTCCAGGGAGTTACGTGCCCTGCCCCCGCTTCCGGGGAGCCGCGTGCCCTGCCCCCGCTTCCGGGGAGCCGCGTGCCCTG